CTAATTAATAATTATGCATCTTCCTTCAACTAAGGAATGTATGTAATTATTTTTGAGCTGTGTTACACTTTTAATGTTTTTGTATGGGACATGGTGTATGTTTTGCATGAGGTAACGATATGACAGCACACTGAAATCACAGCTATTGCGTTATTTCTCTCTCTCTCCCTCTCCCTCTCCCTCTCTCTCTCTCTCTCTCTCTCTCCCCCTCTCCCTCTCCCCCCCTCTCCCTCTCTCTCCCTATCAGCAGTGAAAGTTTTCTATTGGTTTCCTGCCACAGCCTCTCCTGAACAGGGTTATCTGTTCTCTGCAGAATGATGAAGATTTTCAGTCAGAGCCACTGTTCTGATTTTAATACCAAAATAGAAATGTCCTTTAATACATTAGTAGCTATGGAACATAATTTCTAAGTCAGGGACTAGTCCAAGTTTGACTCCTCTGTATGTGGTCCTTCCAAACTGTACTGTAAAAGAGCATTTCCTTGGAGAGGTGTTCTGATTATTGGTGGTGTAGGTACTTGTGAAATTTAACTGCATGAAACTTAATAACTAATTACATTTGTAATACCGATTCTTCATGAAAGTAGTAGTAATTGTCTCAGATACTGACCATAAATATTTTTGCCAATTAACACATTTTCGTATGAAAAGGAAGTTGATAGTCCACACAGGTGAAAACCCTGTGGCATGGGATCTTAGGGACAGATTTGTACTAGATAAAGAAATAGCGATGTGAAGTTCCCTAAGACAGAACTGGGTAGAGAAGAACAATCCACATAGTGAATCCTGTACCCTGAGAAGGTGGAGTGTAAGTTTGGAAGCACTTGAGCCATTAGGTTTGCCTGTTATACAAGTTTCTTATTTTTGGTTCAACCTTATGCTATGAATCTTCCTATCCCCAAATTAGCTCGGTGTCGTCACCACATTCCCTTGTGAGGAGCAGGTTTGCTCGTCCAAGCTGCATTTCTAATGATGAAAAAGATTATTGCTCTTGCCTTAGCCATGCTTTCAGAAGACTATTCTGATAGTTCTAATGGCAATCATAAAATAAAAGACTACAATCTTGGCCCTTATAAAATAGTTGCCATACTTGCAGTGGACAAAACAAAATTGTTTTCTGTCCAAGGAGATACTTTCGAATTAGAAAAGTAAGATAAAATTTTTGAAGTCTTTAATGGCATTTCTGTTTAGTCTTGGCATGTTATTATCTGTGTGGGAAAGGAGGTGACCAGAAGGGGTTGTGCTCTGAGAATGACTGTAACTGCCATGCTGGCCTGGACAGCATCTGCTGGCTTATTAAGTCACTTGCTCTTTGAAACAACCACATGATGTAATTGTGAAAAAAACCCACATTCATACTAATGACTGCATGACACTTATTTTTCTATTTGTCTATGATTGTCTACAGAACCAAATGGAATGGGATGGGATAACATTAGTCAGAAATTATGTCAATAAAATGAATGGTTCTCATTCATAGAAAAAATGACAAAATACATCTGGTGTGAACATCTCTTCATCATTTTTGCTGAATGAGTATCTGTTTTGCAAAACCATAAACTGAAACACCCATGCCTTTTTTTCCAAGTCATGACTGGTATCAACCTTCTGACCAAGCTATTGAATCTATGGGTACTGAGAAACTTTGATATTTTATTTGTTTCATGGTAGAACTAGCTTTTGATCATGTTTATTTTTCTCTTATTTTCTTCATATGTTGAGCTGATGATTTACTGAGTTTCCTTAAGCTCTTGCATTTGTGGAATTTAGTTTCCATGTATCTGTAACATACTATGTTGTGACTTGCCAGATGGAGGAGGGCTTTGAATGAAGAAGGGTATTATTGGTGGACTTAATGCCATTTCTCCTTAACTCCCTGATTCACAACAATTTTTGCAATATGAAGATCACTGTAGTTAATTTTTGAGTAGGTAGTGTTGTTGTGGGGTCATGTTTTTACTTCACTTGTGTATGCTTGTGTTTATGCACTTAGATTATACTGTATTGCTAACATATTACTAAATGCTCTTATGTTTTTCTTTGTCCTCTACTCTCTTGATTGCCATAGCTTCAAGTTTATGGGAAATGTACAATGTTTTTACAGAGATTCTAAGGAGAACACTAAAATTGCTAAGTGTGGTTGCCTGCAGTGGCAGACAACTTGGTTATAAAATACTGCTGATGAACTAATTAAATTCCATCTCAAAAGTAGTTATATTATTTTCCATATTGTTCCTGTTGGATAGCAATTCTGAATATTATTCTCTGATGTGATTCCCTTTTTCTTTATAGATCGCTGTTGTAGTCAGTTCTTTTTAACTTTATAGGCATGCTTTCCTCTTGATAAAAATTATGGCAGCCTTTCAAATCTCAGAACTGTTTAGCTTTAAGCTTTCTCAGGTAGAAGGAAAATATTAGGGAAAAATTCTTATCAATAAAATCTACTAATAATAGCAAATTTTGAAATATATCAAGCTCTTAATTTTTTGTCCAGTGTGCATTAACAATAAACAGTTCAATTTTGAGATGTATATGCAAGCCTTAAAGTATAATAATTCATTTCTGTCCTGTTTTTCAACATTTTCTTTTCACATAATTTTTGTCCCAAGTGGGGCTTTATTTTTTTTTAACATATTGTCTAAACCTAGAAACTAGCTGTGCATACAGATTTCCATTCTCTTAGGATTAGTCATAAACCAACAATGGACTGTTACATAGCCTGTCTGGGGCATATGAAACAAAAACTGTTTCCTGAGGTGAGAAAATGACTGTATATGAATCAAATAAAATAATACACTTTGTTCTACATTGTCTGGGATTTGATATGTCTCTATTTCCATACAAGATGAATACATGAGCTAGAAGCTCTCTGTCTGTGGCCATGTCCACAATTTAAAGCAAATAAGAAATAGGCCACCTGCATAGTCTTTGTTCCATTCTGATTTTAATTTTGGTACTAGATTTGGAAGATACTTTGAGTGAATAGCAGGTTTCCATAATTATCCATTTTGATTTGAAACTTCTGCCTAAAACCAGTTGTTTTGAAATATAGTTCCAGCTCTCTTGGAGTATATTTTAATGTCTTTCTTGGCCAGTAGCTGCAGAGTTAGTTTGCTAAACTGTCATGTGGGACCTCTAAGATTGATTTTTTGCCCGCAATTATTTGTGCCTGTATTGCCTATTTGTCAGGAAAATAAGTATCTGGCCATTGATTATTTAAGGGTGGATAGTACCCAGCTCACCTTTTGATGCTGTTCCATTTTTTTGTTGTTTAATATATGAACATTAGAGCCTGACTGAAATGTAGTTGAGCGCTCTTATAGTAACAGTAGAGTATTGATTTTGTATTACTGACTCTCTACCTGGTTTCATAATTGTGTAAGTATTCTGTAAAAATTAGAACAATTTAGGAAAGGCTGGTAAATGAGGTGTGTCTTTTCTTCCTTTCAGTTTCATTCTCTTTCTTTCTGCCAGAGTCTTTTCATTCTATTCACCATCCTCTTCCCATTTATATTTTCTTTCTCTTGCTCATTCTGTCCCCAGATTCCCTCCCTGCATTATAGTACTCTTCATTTTCTGACATCCCATTAATCTTCCAGTCTTTATGGCTTACTTTCCCACCTCCACAAGCACACCCACAGGATGCTTAGAAATTTTACAGCATACCCAGTTGTCAAGAAACTAAACCTACAAGTCCCAGACCCGTAATACTATGCTGGGAATGCTCATTAACTCCCACACTGTTTGGAAAAAGAAACTGGTATAGTTAGTATAAGGTCTGCAAACCATAATACATGCCTGATATTCCTTTGCTTTCCACTAAACCTGGAAACTCCTCATTGGAGCTGGGAAGGAAGATGTGATCTGGCTTTTTTTGCTTTAACTGTGGTTTTGATCTTATAGGAACCCTAGAAAAAATGGCACAAATGCGCAGCTACAGGGGTGTGACCTCTGAAACGCTGTGTTTGAGGAGAACTCATGCCAGCAGATCAGAAAACCTGTTGCTATAGGTGGGTGTAGCAGCAAGTGCATCCTCAGCACAGCAGCCGCACCATGGCCAAAGCCAGAGTGGCCTTTGCAGTGTGAAGTGCCAGTGGTCTCAGATGCTTCTGTCCATTCTGACTGCCAGCATTTGTCAGACCATGTTCTTTACTACTGGCAGAAGTGACTAAGAAAAATGACAAAAGACTGCATCTCTAATTTGTGTATGATCAACTGATTGCCCCCTCCACTAATTGCCTGTGAATACTAATTAAAAAAGCAGTATTCAGTGTATGGATGGCAGTGCTTAGTTTCCAAAGGCAACAATTTGAGGCTTTTCTCTTGCTAAATAGCACCCATGTCAGTGTTTAGTGTTGCTAAGTGGAATTATCATCAATCTTTGTCAGAGGTCTCTCAAATAGTGGACCTGGACAGTTTTTGGACAGTTTTCACTCCCCTCTGTTGAGCTTTTTTTATTATTATTTTTTAATTCTTTTTTTTTTAAATTTTTTAACCTTCAGAAATAATCACTGCATTGTTTTATTTCTTAATTCTGCTGTGAGGAAAATGCAGTTATTGTCAGCATTACAAATAGAAATGTAGATATACAAGCTTAAATTTTGCAGTAGTCAGTAGTAGGGGCTTGACCTGCTTGCTTCTTCTCATGCTTCGTTAGGTCTTTTTTTAAGCCTGTATCACATTTAATTAACTATTTGGGACTTAACTGACAGTAGTGTAAAAAGCACTGCATGTTAAAGCAGTACTACTAGCTACACCATCGCTGAATACAGCTGTACTGTAACTAATCTCAGAATTACTGGATCAGTCACTGATAACCCACCCCAGATTAGATACTGCCAGCAGTGCTTCCAGTTCCTTTCTTTCCATTCATATTCAGAGGATAGCAGACTGAATTTATAAGATGAACTTGCCCACTAAAATGATGTCTCATCATGGATAAAACATCTCAATAGTACAGTTAAAGATAATCATTATTTTTTTAATACCTTCTTTCTTCAGAATCCTACTCAAGTGGGAACTGCTCTTCAGGTTTTCCATAATCTTGGGACTTTGAAGGATACCATTGCCAATGTGGTGGATGGATACTGCACAGTGCTGGAAGAGAACATAAAAAATGCTTTGGATATCAAAGTGTTGACCCAACCATCTCAAGCCATCACAAGAGGTGCGATACTTGTTTCACAGGGAATGGTAACTGATTCTTTTTTATAGGAGTACAGTAAGTTATAAAATGGAAGAAACTCTCATATCCAAGCCTGATCTAGAAAAATTTCCCTGCTTGCTTTAACCAGTAGAGGGTGGGAGTAGGCATATCTCAGAAAACACGTAATTCTAAATCATTTAAGTTAACAAAATTGGGTCTGGCTGATATTTGGCTCAGAGGTTTTCCTTTATTTCTCCCTGCTGCTCCTTCCTAACTTGCCCAGAAAATTGTCCTCATTAGATTTCAACTTCGCAGCATTTTCTTAGCTGTTTATCATGGAAAGATGACTCCAAATTCTGCTTTCTTTGTATTGGTGGGAGAATTACAGGTTGAAATTATTTGCAATCAATGGAAGAAGCCTGCAACTGCATTGTTATGCTTTTGTCAGGTGAAAATTGTTTCAAAGCAGATTATTCAATATGAAGAAATGTTGCACGATGAAACATTAAGTTCCCAGTTAGCTCAGATACCAAAAAGTACTGGTGGGTAGGCAAAGTTGAACTTCAGTGTTACGAACATTGAATTTTTTTTCAAAAGGCTTGCAGCAAGGTGGGGGACCAGACCCATAATCAGTGGCATAATACAGAAATGCATCCTCTCTCAAGTGAGGTGATTTAGAAGCTGCATGTTCTTCAGCTGGAAGAACATACTTTTTTTAGCAGTTTGTCTATGCATTTGAGTCCTGAGCTGGTAAGAGCTGTGTTTTTTACAGCTACTCTCTCTGACATTTTGCTTTGTTCTTACATCCTGCAAAACTGCTCTTTGGCATTACTGTGGTGTTTCTGGGGAGGTCTGAATTGGTAGAGCATGTAACAGTCACGAGCATGAAGTATCCCCACTGAACTTCAGAGTGTAGTCAGCTCCTCAGTTGAGACAACTGAGGTCATTCACAAAGCTCTCTTCTGAAGGTATTTGTTTTGTTTTGCTTTGGTTTTTTTTTGCTTAAAAAAGTACCTATCAAAGTGCATGGAGATCTATATTTCCAGTATTTCAATTTTCATTTGTGGAAGCTGAAATGTGCTGCTGTGTATGTTTAAAAACCATTTTAGGTGGCCCTGGTAGAGCTGCTATGCCAACACCTGGGAACACAGCAGCTTTTCGAGCAGCCCTCTGGACAAACATGGAGAAACTCATGGATCAGATCTGTGCTGCTTGCGGACAGGTACTCTGCACTTAATTCCTGTTTGTCTCATCATGCAATTTTGGATGTAAGAATTTAGATGTCACTTTCCCTCTCAATAAATTTTCTCTTACAGGTGCAGCATTTGCAGAAAGTATTGGCAAAGAAAAGAGATCCTGTGTCACATGTCTGCTTCATAGAGGAGATAGTTAAGGTAAAGTTTTAATTTAGCTGAATATGCTTTAGTAAATCTCTTAATAAAAACGTGATGAGAGAATGAGTTTGTTTACAATTTTACAGTTCCATTTTTTAAAAAAAATGAAATTGAGGGGAAAGTGTTGGAACTCAAACTAACACTGAAGGATATATTTGTGGTCTGTGGGTTATATCTGTAGGATGTAAACATGTTAATTTTATTGTAGTTTCTTTTGTTTTCTTTAAAAGGGAGCTGATAAGGCACCACTGTATGGATCATTAATGTCATTCTATAATACCGTGTGATTTGAGTAATTAATTAAATCTGTTAGTTTGCATAGGAGAATGTGTCTTCATGTATCATTTTCAGCCATCTGTTTCTCACTTCTTGACACTTTCTCCCTTGAAAAATAATCATGGCTGTTCTTTTGAATACCTATTATTTTCCATTCATTTACATTGTTTTTTATTCATATGTGGAATAATTTGATTAATGGTCTCCTTCAGTGGTAGGAACAGGATTACTGAAACTGTCTCATCTAACTTAGTAGAAGAGAGCAAGAACAAAAGATGTGTTCCTGCTGACATCTCTTTCCAAGTGTATAACTGGATTTTTAATTTACATGGACTTAATATGCAAACGTGGTCTTCTCAACAAAGAGGGGAAATAATGAAGGTTAAATACAGCCTCTATTTGTCTCTTAAGCCCATCTCCAGAAGATGTTGCACAGAGCATCACTTTTCTACTTTTCTATGAGGCCCTTCAAGCTTCTCTTTCTCTGTTAAAACAAACAAACAAAAAAAAGCAAACCACAACAACAAAAAACAACCCAACCAAAAAGAAATCTACAACCCTCCTCAAAAAGCTTATAAACTTTTAGCATATTTTCTTAATATAAAAAGTTGAATCTGGCAAAAATATCTATTGCTGCCTGGGTAGGTCAGCCCTTCAATGGATCAGCATGTTTAGGGAGAAACAGAAAACTGGAGACAGACCAGAAACACTGAAAGGAGGAGTTTGGATGGAAAGGCAGCTTAGGTAAATGATCTGTTGGTGCTCATGAGTGGCTCCCACCCTGTGTCCATGCTTCTCACTTTCTCTCTTCCCTCTTGTAAAGCATCACTTGAAAAGTTTTTCAACAACTGAAAAGGGAGTTTTTCCAGTTTTTGAGGCTAATAATAGAGGGCAGACAAAGGAAATACTCTATTCTTCTGGAGACTAAATGAACAGGGAAAAGGAATTTCAGTGAAAGCAGGGTAAGGAAAAACTCATTAGAAAATAGAAAATTTACTGGGTTGTTTTATGTGTGTTCCATGATTTCTTCCCTTAAAGTTCATATTGTAGGATTGCGTCTAAGTGAAAGGTTTTATTAAATAAAACCAAATAAAATAAAATCCCTCTATTTATTTTTCCGCAGTTATCACTCTTCCAATTACTTTGCTCTTTGATGGGTGTTTTGGTGTAGCATTGTGCCAGGCAGGACGTTGTCAGTGGGGTAGCTAAGGAGGAGTGGTATATCCTTGTCTGATGTTCTGCTAGCAGAACTCTCTCAGCATGGCACAGTACTGCTGATGGCACTGATTCTCGACTTACTTCTTGCCTGAAATGGTTCAGTATAGCACCATGTTTTTCTTGGGCATTCTCACTGTTAGACCATTTTTCTGGTGTCTCTTGAAAAAGGTGTGGCACCAGGCTGCAGGTGGGTGAGGTCACACCAAAGAGTAGAGCTGTTCAGACAAAACCAGACAAGTACTGCATGCTGCAGAAATTCAGGAGTGTAAGTACAGATGGCTGTATGGGAGAATATGAATTGTTTTAGATATAAATAAAAAACTGGTATTTTGCTATTAATGAAGAAAGATTCTATCTCGTATTAAACCAAACTGAAATGTGCTTTCCTCAGCAAGTGTTCTGGAGAGGGAGAGAAGTCAGATTTTCTTTATTGTATTCAATTTCATTAACAAACTGAGCAAATGAACAAAACAAACCAAAGGTACTAACATTGGACTCATTTGCTAGAGCAGCATGCCCACTCCAGAAGATGGGAAAACGAATCATCCACTCTACAGTCTGTGCACTAATTACTGTTACTGATGTCAACATTATTATTATAGTCATCTTCTGCAGCAGCTGCAGTACCACTTTGCCTGTCCATCTGCTTCCTTGTTTTGATTACTGCAATGCAAGTATCATCCTAGGAAGCATAAGAGAGGAGGAGATCCAGCCTTTTTAAAGCACAAGTCCTTAATAGCAAGGAAGCTACTTGCCTTTTTTTTTTTTTTAAGTCATCATTCTATTTTTCCATTGGCGATTTTTTGTGTCTTTCTCTTCACAGATAGCACAGCCTGCAGTTTTTCTAATTTTGCATTATGATCTCAAACACGTGCTTTCCGGCTTTCTAATTACCTGTTACCATAATAATATTTAGTAGTGTTGTATCATGTTGCATCCAAAAATGTAGTTTTAAAAGCACTAGCTAATTAATTAAAGGATTCACAAAAACTCTCAGGGATTTTTATTTTTTTTTTTGAAAAAAAAAGGAAATAAAACCTGACAGATGAAGAAACTGAGGTACAGAACTTGGAAAATTTTAAATACTGCAGTTCATCAAGAGGGCAATGGCAGCACCTGCATCTTTTCTACCCTGTGGTTTGTCCTACAGAATTCCCTTCCAATTTTTACCAGCTTTGGATGTGACCAAGAGTTAAGTAACAGTCTCAGGCTTACATGATCATGGAAGAATCTGGACATTATATTTATAGTGCACATTTTTTCACTCCTTCCCTTTGCAGATCTAGATTTTGGTATTTTTCCTTTGTCACAATATGAAACTAATGCAATTCTGTAAAGAAATCATGCAATCATTGTACCTTCTAAAAACTGCTTCATTTCATACTAGTCATGAACTATAGATTTATTATTAATGTTTACAAATTTAAATTACAGATGTAATTTTTTAGCAACTGTATTAACTGTTTAAACAAGAAATGTGATTGAATTTTATGTGTAAGAAAAATATTTTATTTTCTGTAACAAAAAAAGGTCTTTAATGACTAGATTTTAGCTGAAGAGGGCTAAAAGAATTCAGAGCTCATGGAGATCTGATTTCTAGTTTTGGGGGAAATGAATACAGCTTTCATTGTATACATTTTTTAAAATATAGGGTTAATTCTGTCATAAGGTTAAGGGTAAAAATTAAAATTACAAATAAGATTTAAAAAATGTAAATTTGGTATTTTTGTTCACCTAATGACTGGTTATTTATATCACTTCTTTCAATTGCTTAATTCACCTTCAGAGAGCTAATAGGTTACTTCAGTTTATTCTGCTTTATTGCTTCTCTCTTTCAATGTGTTGTGACTAATCCTTCCTCAGCTGTTGTAATGCCTAAACTACAATTGACTTCACTGTAAATCGCAGCCGCACATATCTTCCTGTGACAGCCACCTTCCTAATTAGAGATAAGAGTCCCTCTTAGCCCCTTGTAAAAGAGTTGAAAATGATCTTTGATCTTCATCTATTTTGGGTTTTTCACTCCTACATAGGCATCAGGGAACAGTTCTGCAAAAAGAAAAGCAACCTGAAAAGCAGCAAATCATTTTTAAGGGAGGGTTGGGAGGGTCAGTAGAAAGGATGAGCTGGGGTCTCTCTGCTGGCATATCGGTACAGGCAGACCTGCCCTTGCTTGCCTTTGGGGGTCCTGTTTGCAGCCAAGGCACATCACAAACCCTGTCGTTGACGTAAGCCTCCGGGTGAAAAAGTGAGCTGAGAGTTGTAGGGAGTGTTATTATGTACTTCATGGAGGGCTCTTATCATTGCTTCTGCTGATGAATGTTTGGTGAGTAAGCAGCCTTTTTTCCTGAGTTGTCAACACTGGCAATATGAGGTGTTAACGATACAGAAAGAAATGTCCTCAGCATTACATAAGTTAAAGAAAATAAATGGAAAATATAGATGTTTATTGACAAAGTGTATGTATATTTCACCTTCTTATTTCTGCTCCCCATCCAAGCTTGTTAAAAAATGTTGCTTTGAAACTATTCACGTCTACCATCACACATTCACATTCAGTTGACCCAATTAGAAAATAATCCCAAGTGGAAAAAATTGGAAAATAATCTAATTATTGCCTTACGTGAATTCAGAAAATAGAATGGTTTTCAGCAATTATTACAAGTATATGATTTATTTTTCAGCATCTTTTGTAGAAGCAGAATTGTATTACTCGCACATCATTTCTACTGTGATTTCTGTTTGTTATTTAAGCAATAATGAGGTACTTTGTGAAGATCTGAACATAGGTGGATAAGCAGGTTTTTGGTTCCCAAAATATCGAAGATGCTTTTTGCTTCAGATCTACAAATTGCCCTGCTCAAGAGCCAAGAAGATCATACCAGTTAAAAGTCCCAATTCTCATTTTGAATGGATCTGTGTGCCCAGACAGCCATACTAAAAGTAATTTGATTCTAATTCACACGGGAGGGTCAGAGCCTGTGCAATGGTTTTCTAATGACACTATGATTTCTGTAGAACTTTAATTCCCTTTTTCTGACAGAAATGTGCAGCTGTGAAGAAAAGGGATGGTGTGGAGGTTGTGTGGGTTAGGAGGTAATAATGACCTTTGTTCTTTTTCACTTCTGGCTTGGTGGTGTTTGTGCAAATTGCAGATCAGTGATGACTGCAAATTATTAAGTCAGTTGGTTTTCAGTCAGCTTGCCATTGGAAAAGAAATACATTTACCAGAAGTGCCGCCTTTTATCATCATTCTTGTCAATCTTACCTGAACAGCTCCAGGCTGAGTGGACATGGTAACGAACCATCCTTTCATCCTTGGAGGGGATATGGAGTAGTCAAGGTGAAAGCATAGTTTGAATTGAAGCTGTACATACTAAATCACTTCTCTGGGTAGAAAAAAGCTGTCAAATCCCTGGGGTAGTTACTGGCTTTTGAATACTAAGTTCATTTATTTCCAGTTGATGCATATCTTGCAGGGATATGGAAGGATTAATTAATGTTTT